GGTGATAACTAGCTGCCCTCCCTCTAGTCTTACACTGCTAAAATTAGGGACGGCTAGCGCAGATAGCCCTCGTGTAGCTTTGCGCGAAATTCAAAAAACAAAACAAAAAAAACAACATTGTTATGTTTAATAACGAGGTTTAAAAGAGTTTAGCTTCTTTTTTTACGTGGAGTTTGGAAAATGAAAGCATTTCTTATAATACCACTGTTAAGAACTAGACTTTTTTACCGTAATTGATTCTCACCACAAAGTTTTCAAAATAAATTACTTTATATTTTTTGGTTTTACCCTGCCACATTTTGGGATCTAAAAATTACAAATTTCAGTAGATTTTACCCATTTGCTACATAATTCGTGTCTAAACATTGAAAACAGTTATAAAAGTAATAACAATAATAATAATAATATTTACTGTTACTTAAGAAAGAAAATCAGAACTTACGATTTTTCAAGGAACAGTGAACATGTCATTTAAAAATGTTTATTTTGGTGCAAAAAAAAAGAAGATAAAAACATATTAACATAAATTACTCTCATTCTCCAATACGAAATAAAAATATTACTCATAAGCTGTCTATTTTTAAATGCCGAATACATTTACCAACTAAATTTTAGGAAATTAATTTAAACTCATTGCCATTATTACATAGTATAAAGATTTGCAATTGTTAATATTTACATTTGAACACTTGCACTCAAAAAAAAAAAAAAAAAAAAAAAGGAAAAGAAAAGAACATTTCTAGAGCTTTTTGTGACCATAGCCGTTTTGGTATAAATAAATATGAATTAATAAGAGGGCTCTGATTGAGTTCATTCTCTAGTTTCTAGAATAAAAAAATATTAATATCTAGAAAAAAAAGGAAACGCCAAGACAAATCCAAATTTGATTAAAACATTTGTTATGAATACATGTTTCGGATTGAAGAGATACAGCATGTATGAGACACATAAAACACTTATAAATAAATGAAATAAAACACTTCACAATGTAAGTTGTTAACTTGACTGTGCCACCAAAGGTAAACTATTTTTGATCATTTACTACTATATTTACAGCGAAAATAGGGTAAGTCAACAATGAGAATGTTACATGTTCGGCTTATTTTTCTGTACTACTTGTATTGACAGTCTACAAAAGAGATTATTCGTTTATACTACAACTACTAACAGCCTATACTAGACTGATAACTCGAGTCAGCGTCAAGTGAATTGGTAGTTTGCTGAACAGAAGTGATAGAAGAAAATACCCTCATGATTTTAGGACTGTAAAGCTTGGAATCGGATACTGTAACGAATTTATTGTAATGTATTTATTTTTAATATGAAAGTTGTTTACATTAAGTTTGTATTTAAAAATATGCATAGCTTATAATCAGATATGTATTGCGTGTAATGAATTTGTTATATATTTATTTTAATGACAACGTTTGTTGGGATTGAGTTTATATGTAAAAACGTGCCTAGATTACTGTGTTAGTTACGTATGGCGAAACTCCCGTCAATTCTCCAAGGTCGTAGAATATTTGTAAACGCAAGAAGCGACAATATATCCACTTCTATAACCGGTTAAATATAATTCAGTATTGTTGTCCGAACTTTCGAGAAAAACATTTCCCGCACACATAAAAAGACAAAGGCCAAAGAAGAGAGCATATATAAGTCTGCTAGGAACCTGTTATAACCATGTACGCTATAAACCGCGATTTTGCTAACCCTTATCAACCGGAAAATTTACGACATTTGACCAGGAACAGTTATAAATTTCGAACGTCAGTGAACTCTTATCGGACGTTAGTACCTTTTCGAAAATATTATTGATTTCTCATCGGGCATTGGTGGTTTTATGAAAATATTATCCTACTTCAATGGTCCAACAACTCAATGTCTAACAAAGCTAGCTAGCTTCTCAGCAATTGTACGTACATCGACTTCAAGTTAACTGGCTGAATATCAAGGAGACTCTTGAACTAGGAAGATTTTATGTTATTTGTAAGTTAGTGAAATCTTTGTTTATGAAACTTTGTTTGTAGTAATTAATTGTAATAGTTGCTATTGTAAATTGTACTGTTGTATATATATATATATATGTATATATATATGTATATATATATATATTAAAACGTATTTGTGTCAAAAACAAAAACGGTGTGAATCAATCTTGTTGGCAAATAGCGTAAATCAAATAAAATATCGGCATATTTCCAGACACTTGTTCCAGGGTACAATATCCGTCTGTATCTCAAACTCTGACGTTTCTTACGATCCAAAACAAATACTTTATCAGCGTCTTTTTTCAATTTCCTTCTCCTCTCGATTCTCTTCTAACACTTCCTATGAACACAAACAAACATTTAGATTTATTGAAATCATTAATTGATGATTTTTAACAATATAATTCATCACCAAAACTTTCCTAAAATTAGAAGAGAATGAAAAACAATGTTTCAAATTAAGTAATGCAAGATGATGGGTTTGAATAAATTCTAAGGGTATTATCTCTTTATTTTTTAAAGCAATTTCTATTGTAAACGACTCTTCAGGTTGGTTTGATTTGGTTACACCTCGTGACGAAATCTGTTTTAACCTAATATAAAAACAAATGAGTTAAGTATCAAAGAAATATTAAACTTATACAACTAGCAATATGTATCGTTGAAGTAATGACTGTCAGAACTTCGTTGAATATATTAAAATTGTCAGTTTTTAAACTTTAAACCAGAATTTCTTTTCAAGGTAAAAGTACAAATAATTTGTTAGTCTTTACTTTCTATACAGTCAATAGTCATAAAGTTGATCAAAATTGCATTTATAGTTTAAATTGATATAAGGAAAATGATATTTTGAGCATTACAGGTCACTGATACCTGTTGTATTCTATTATCCTTCACTCCGAGTACGCTTCAAGATGTGGGGTTTGAGCTGAGTCAAAGTGAGATTCGTATCTAATCTCTTGGGAAGCTCCATAGGTTTTAAGTTCGACTTTCGCGGCCACGGCTCCTGCTGAATTAGTGAAGCATAAATCATAAGTTAACCAAGGCTACAGTTATCGAAAATAAAAGTAAATAAAGTTTTAAAGATAGTTTTTTTTAGGAATTATTTCTGAATGTTTGATATAGATAAGTGTTTTGATTTTATGACACTTGAGGCCTAAAATTCTCAAATAATTATTGAAATCAAAAGAATAAAAAGCGTAAAAAACAATAACCATATAAAACGCCGAGTAAAGCATAATTAAATAAAGGAAAATAGGTTTTCTCAACTAAAGAATCAGAATATCATCATTAAAAAACAAGCAGACTTATTTTGTCAAAAAAATATCTGTTATAAACATCCGAGATGATTGTCACCTTTCATATCGACAGGGTGGTCCAAAAGTTACTTGCCGTAGATCAGTATACTAATAATTTTAATCCATTTCTGATTAACATATTACTATTAGTACAGCAGACATGCGTATGGCACAGAGATTAACGAAAAACCAAATGTTAAATACAAATCCAATTGTTACATCTCCGTTTGTTAATTAACTTTCCGAAACTTCGTTCCGACGAAACTTTAACGACACAAGTCTTTACTTAATAAAACTGGTTTATTCTTTCCGAATATAACTTTACGATACACTTAATTTCAATATTCGCGCTAAAACAAACACTATAACGAACGAACGTTAACTTCAACAATACCCTGTGACTGCAGTTCAATTACTCACTACCTACACACACATTACATTATATTCTCTCGTCACGTTGTCACCCTCTTATATATACCAGACTACCCTATCTAGTAAATACTAGAGCATTCGCCAAGGTACAGGATAGTTCTAAAAACGTGGCGTCACAGTAGTCATGTGACTCGCTGACGCAACACAATGTTATCTGCACAAGAGATTAAAGTATGTAAAACTATTGTGTTACTCTATATAGCTACACATTATAACTTCTAAACGAAAGTAATTTATCCTTACCTTCTTTATTTCCTCATTTTCCAATTTCATAATTTCAAGTAAATCTTCACTGAAATGTTTTATAACGTCCCATGCATAAGTAATATCTTCTTCTTTGGCGTGTTGTGCGCAGATGCAAAATCTGATTACGAAACGGTTATTCAAAGATGCTGGTACCATATGGAGCTTTCCTGAAGCGTTGATAGCGGACAGAAGTTTTTGATTGAGGCTGTTGGGTCCCTAAAAATTAAACATTTTTTTAATACGAAACTTCTGCAAAAAACAAATTTTGTCTGAATACCTGATCGAATTAGTATTAGTATTTTTCTAAAACAAAACTAGCTAAATTAGTTATTTTAGAAGTTGCAGTACGAAATCAGTAGACTTCTGGTCATTAATCGCATAAGTTATTTGATAAGCTACATTCTAACTTAACAATAATAGTGGTGTAGGAAGGAGTTGAAGAGTGTGGTTGCTTGACTAGACATGCAAAGTTTACAATAATATAACTTACAGTCGCTATATTAGTCAAATATGTAAATATGTTTAATACATATATATTGTACTTGAAAAATATCCAAGGGAATATAACAAAGAAAGTGCTCAACTACTTGTGAAAATTCTTGGAAAAAAAGAAATCTAGAACACAATTTTTGAAGATTAAAATTATTATTCTAAATCTCTTTTTTTCCCCTAGTTCAAAATAAAGAAAATTTTCTTAAATTAATGTTCAATGAATGTTCAAATAAATCAGAACATACCTTCAAACGGAAACAAACTAGGCCTACAACCACTTTGTTTACCACTTCGTATCTCTCATCTTTTGCCACTAGTCCTTCAAACTTTTTGGCTAGTCGGACATGCTTAAGTACAAAAAGAAATGAAATAATTTTATACGTATAAGTCGTGTAAAAGCGACCCGAATAATCAAGTCATTCATTATGTTCCACCGCTCTGCTATTGAAACATTAACGCCTAAACTCTGTCATAACATTTCTCGTCGTTCGGCCTAATTTACAGCATCCAATAAAAAGTAGCCGAGTTTGAGCAACCTTTCTTACTTCCGAATATTTATTTACAAAATAGGGAATACATTGTTGAAAGGATACAATTTATCTGAAAAAAAAAGCACCGTCAAGCTTGTGCTTACATTTGCGTGCTCGTGTAATGTAAACAATTAACCAAGCTTATTACATGCTACATTCAACATGGTGATAGCTCTACTTTCGTTTCATCGACAAAACCTACCTACAATTCAGAACGGCAGAATATAACGGCTTGACTATTCGAGTTATTTTGAAGCTTCTGTTTTAGATGTATAACACGCAAGTAATAAAATATTTCACGATTTTTCACCATATTAAACAAAGAAACCTAGTTATTACTTATATATAAGGTGATTCAAAGTAACTTGCTTTTTGTGTGTGTTCTATATATCCTTCTCTATTTTATTTTCACATTTCATTCATTAGAATATAAAAGTTTATATTATCTGCAACCACGCTTCTATTAGAAAAGTCTAACTACACTAATTAGCATATTCTACAGACATTGCCAATGTAATACTGGCTTTATTGTCTAGGTCAACGTTAAAAAACTAAACATTTTGTACATTTACAGCAGATTTTTTCTACTTGTTTTGTTAAATCCATTAATTATTAAAATTATTTTAATTATAAGTAATTGTAAACACTCAGAAATATTAAGTATTTGTAGAAAATAATGCTTTTTTTTTATCAAACTATAATTCCGTTTGGTTCTGTATTTTTCGAAGGATATTGTAGCGTCAGCGAGGTCACGTGACTAGTATCACGCCACCTCTTTCTAGAAATCTCGTGATCCTTCTAGATATATGTAGTCTTGTATATAAGACCGGCCACGAAACAACAGGGTAATGAGTAATTGAACTGCAGTCAGAGAGTGTGTAATTGAGTATTGTTGAAGTC